ACCACAGGACACCTCGATCGATTGGCTGAGGTATTGAAATAATCAAAGCCCGCGATCACGGAAAACCGATGTTTGGAATCCAACAAACTGGGTAAGAACTCGAAGAATAATTAAAGAACGAAATATTAATACCTTCTGCTTTGAGTAAACTGAAATATAGTTCCGCTACAGTGATTAGAATTAGTTGTTTTTGTCTGTTATTACAGATTGACATACCAAACTATTATGAGGTATGACTGATTAGTTACGTACGATACAAATTTCATACGAAATACAAACACACGATAAACTTGAATTATGATCATAAAAGATCGGTTTTTCTACTTTGACTGTGACGTAATGGACGCTTATGACAATGGAAATAACTATCTATTAGAAAAACACTAATTATTCATGTGGCAATAAACATGTTTACTGTTGTATTCCAAAATGCTATGCTACCTTAGATATGGTTTATAGTCCAACAAACGATTACACATTTCATTATCACATATAAGTGTTGGAATTCGGATCAAATCATCACACCGCGTTAAAGATCATGTACTCCCGCACCCCCNCCCCCCCCCCCCCCCCCCCCCAACCCCTCGCAAACTCCATCAACTCAGTCTCTCATCGACCAAAATCCCTAACGTGAAATGCATTGGTAGATTCGAGAAATTCGAAAACAATAAGATTATTTAGTTTTATAGTATTTCTAGTTACTCTATTTAAGGAATTTCTTCAAAAGTTTACATCAACGTGTAACTAATGCTATTTTATCTGGAATGAAGCCCAAGTTATTGTTAACTAAATAAATCACTTCATACTCAGGTCTTTGCAAATTTATGTTGTGTTTGTATATTGAAATATCTTTCCTGTTGAAATATTTTCGTTTAGCTGAATATTTACCAATAAAATTCCCCTAAATGCTTGCACTACCCATGTTCAGCTGCATATGCGGTTATGTAAAACAATGAAAAATGAAGCACTATTCCTGATAAAATATGTGAATTATGTCAGCTGTTTTCTGATCCATTCAAGATGTTCCCAATGTAGTTTTTTTGGATTTTGACTTGATGCACTGAATTGTGCAGATTGCATGAAAAAGTCTGCCATCTTGACATTATCAGCGTCATCGTCATCAAAATCAAATGGAACTTTACACCTGTAAAGGAAGGTACATCGTCAATTGACACGTTGATGAAGAAAACTGAAATATGTTCGACAGCTTTCATAGATTCCCAGAAGCTCTCAACCACTAGAGAACAACCTGTCAGAGTTTCCTGTTCTCCATCTTCATCCAAATTGTTTTACTTTGGACAATTCGACAAAAAATGGAGTTCAGAAAGATTTTAAATGATGTATTGACACAATCAGACTTGTTTATTAGTTATCAGCTTCCATTGAACAAACTCCTTTGAAAAACAATAACATTCAACTAAAATAGGACAGATTGATGTATCTTCATGATACTTGTGAGATTACTTCTCCCAGCCTAACCGCAGTTCAGTAGTCATAAATGTTAGATCATTAGTTGACGTTTATGAAGACCTGTGCGCTACGTTATGATAGCAATAGCTTAGGTACATACAGATTACATTGTAAACCACTAGCTAAAAACTGTAAACCAACCCAAATGCAGCACAATTACAACACCTCGAGTCATTTTACACCAGCAATAAAACGAACAATACTCGCTCATCAGATGATAACGTTTTGAACTTCGCCTGGTTCTTTCTGTAAATAATTTCCTTATCAAAATAAATAAGCGAATTATATACAGAATCCCTTCAGACCGTAAAAATTCCCATGCATACATTTATTTCAACGACAAATATCTAAGGCCGTCTAAAATGCTCAGTGGTAAAGAATCTAGTAAATCTAGTGAACGTTATTTCTTGGTCAAACAAGTTACCATGATAATTTTTCCTGCCACACTAAAAATTTGTGTATTGTCAAAGCATTAAGACGAAAATGTGGAATTCTCAAGGAAATATGGACGTTTGGACCATGTTTTTCTTCTGCCATATTTTGTTTACACCCAAAGCAGTAAGTAAAAATGCACTTCTGTATAACATCGCGGAACACAATAGGTATAATTCGTTCAGAGAACGTAGTTCTGAACGAACGTATGAATTTTCTAGAATCAATTCCTAGCCCATGACGCAGCGTCACTTAACCAGTTGGGTTGTGTATAAAAAAAAGTATTTTGGGAGTAACATACATAGAAACGATAAAACTTCTTTGTGTATCTTCACTCTTAGAACTAAATCTTCAGAAATTTAAGTAGTATGATGAATTATACTCTTATGAGACGCTTTTTAAAGCAAATCATTGGACATATATATATATATATCACAACCGGACGCTGAAAGACCACCGCTCAACAGTTGTTTGGCTAATCAAAATGTACCCAATAAAAATGCCTGTTTATCAAAAAAGAATATCTAGTCGCATCTACGACAACATCACCCAAGCACTGCTTGATTACAAGGGTTGTACAAAAACTAGTTAACCATCGTTGTGTGTGCCTGACACCATAGTGGATCGCAACACAGAGTTTTAATGGGGAAGAATCCGCCTAACGGAGATTACTAAACGCACGTCGTGCGCCTGGCACAAAGATCAACGACTGTCCACGCAGTGTTCCCAACTGTCAATCATTTCTGATCTGCTGGCTAAAGGTCGGGCACAAAGAAGTGATAATAGAGGTGAAACCTGTGAAATCTTGCAGACAGACTTCAGAGTGGGGGAAGGGTGTGTGGGCAACAGAAGATTATTTCATTCCCGCTTTGCTTCGCTAGGCCATTTGAGGATTGACTTTGAATCACAAGTATTTTCAAGAAGGTTAAAGTGAAAATAGTATAGGCAAAAGTGAGTGAGCTAATAGGAACGGTTGGGCAACGATTTGTCTTAGATCTACTGAGAAGCATCCGTTATGGGTGGTGCAGGAACCAGTGGATTGGAACATTACCCGGCACACATACTAGCTAGTGAGATTGCTGGATATCAACCAGTGGTATGAAACGAAATTGTTGTGTGCCCGGTCAGCGGGTAAGTGGGAGAGAGAGGACTGACGAGAGAGGGATGAGGAGGGGTTCGGGGAAACGGAAATGTGCAAAACGGTTTTGTGATCGTCAGGATGAGACAGAAGACTAAGATAAACATAAGAATCACCTGTCACACACAGGTACGTCCTAGTTTGATAAAGATTGGGCAGCTTATTGACTATTTAAATTTTCAACTTAAGATGTCATGAAATAAGGCTGTGAAGAAAAAATTGGACATAAATGAAATGTGGCACAAAATCAGAAAAACAAGTTAATGCTTTCCTTTTGGAAACGCATTTATTTTGAATAAGGTAAATGAGTTCGTTCCGTCAAAATCAGTGAATCTCGGAAAAAACTGTGAACTCTACCTGACTCGTCCATGAAAATAACCTCAATTATGATTCTTAACCAATAAAGTAGTAAATAATCTGGCAGGAAATTTGAAGAGTAAGTATAAAACCGATGTAACACATTTTGTTAAATCATGAGGTGGTTAGGGAAAACGCGGTTTTACCATTCACTGTCAAATATTGTACAAAACGACTGGATAACCCACTATGTAATATTTCCTAATTTCGCTGGTTTTGGCAAACATCCGCAATAAAGAAATATTTTTTTGTTGCATTGAAAATGGCGAACTAATTCCATGATGACTCGGAAATAGTGCATGCTTGAGCACTGATATTTTTCATCTGCGCTAAAGTGTTGCTTTATTTTATACTAATCACAGTTTCTAAGTATTTCTTCACTTTCACGACTTTCTGTTCAAACCACCAAAATCCCTTGCTCTGTGTTTTACCTCATCCGTTGTATAATTTCAAAATGATACTTTCATGGTTCTATGGTTTACATAAAATAAAAACAAGCGTAAAAATATCTTTGTTTACTCCAAGGCTGCCTTAAGGCTGTCCGTATAATAATACCGGTTTCAGTTTGTGGCGTTATATGATCAGAGGATGTTTATATCGACATTACTATGTAAATACTGATCAAAATCCTAGTCATTTTCAGTCAGCAGACATGGGAATATAAGACAATGGACGCAGATGAAGACGTAACTCTCTCTGTTCCATTCAAGAAAAATCGGGATTATTCTTTGTATCAAATCAATCGTGTCTTGCGCCTTGTACTTTAGTACAAAAGATAGCAGGGAATGACAAACACTTAGTATCCTTTTAGGTGTAATTTGTTGGAGTTTACTGTGCCTTCTACACTGAGTAAGAATAACCGCGAAACCAAGTGACAAACAACCGACAGTTGCAAAACGTAAACTATAACAAATTGTTTTGGATTATTTGATTCGTCAGTACATATGGTTGTTAGTTGTGATACGCGTTTGTCCCCTCAAACAACACATGTTTCATGACACCCTTCACAAATGGAGCTCCACCAACCCACCAATCTACCCCTATTCCGCTCTTCATCGTCGACCTAGTATATGCCCGAATGCGATCAGTAGAGAATGTCGACAAAATGTGTCATCCATATCCATCCTCGTCCCCCCTCTATCTCCGTCAGTTAGTTTTGTTGACCGGAATGGTAGCGTTCAGTGACCGCTTCCAATCGGGATGGTAATGCACATCTGGTGGATGGAAGGGCTCGGTTTGCGATCGACCAGCTGGTCAAGAAAGAATCGTAGCACGGAAAATTTGGATTAAAACTTAGAATATAAAGTTCTATGCGATTAATCGCACATAATGTATAAGAAAAAGTTTGAGAATGTATAAAAGCATTCATGTTGGGGGAACTTCAGAGCATGAAAGATTTTCCGCAGAGGTACGTCAATAATTTCTACGGAGTAGTTTATAAGGATTCTCCAAAAGTGATAAGACTGCATTGCGTTGAAATCATCAAATGTTGATGGAGAATGATTTTAGCTTTGAACTTCAACTAGCCTACAACTTTGCCAATCAAACCATTTAATGCCACATTATAGATAACAAGAATGTGAGGACTAGGTTCACAATTCATTTACAGTGCTGAATTGAAAATACAACTCACTTTGTGTGCATTACGCCGGAAAAATGCTTTGCATGATTCGCAAGTAAGCTGACCGAAATTGTGATTTACAGCTCGATCATTGCATACTTTACATAGCTTTTCAGTTGTACTGGAATGTTCTGCTACGTTCTGTTTGAATTTTCCAGTGAGTCTATCACGCTTTGCATCAGTGATGTCGTCTGTCCGTTTGTTATGTGAGATCTCTGCATCCGTGGAAGTATCCTGTATGAACGGTTGTTGTGCCTTGAGTGGCTCAGACCGAGATTCACAGGCTAAGTATACTTCTTCCAGCGCATCCTGTGGAAAACTGTCCATAGCGAGGGTTACATGCTCCTCGGACTGGGTCGCTTCGGAATGCGGAGGTTGAAATAGTTGAACTGAATTACTGGGATCTTCATAGTCTTGTTCAGTGGCAGTTTGACCGGGATCATCAAACCAAAATAATGAGGTGTATGGAGATGAACTGGTTACATTAGCTGAATCCTCTCCAGCTCCAGATTGCCCAGTATTGATGGAATTGTTATTGAACGAATAAGGATGCATGTTCGATGACCGCTCAAAATCCAGTCGCGTTTCGGTGTTGGTCACTGCTCCCAAAGATGACTCGATTCCATTAATCAAAAGTCCATTTGTGTCCTCGTTTTGTTCTACAGTATAGCGATCAACCCCAAGGGCTGGAGGGGCTTCGTTCATTTGACCGTAAAGCTGAGAAAAGAGAAGAGCAATTTGGACATTTAAAATAAACGTATACATATCCGTAAATAAACATACACATAAGGAGTTCAGCGGTAAACGTTTGGTATTTCATTCTGCAAATTTTAAAAATTCAGTTTTCTATCAGACGACACGTATACACAAAATAAGACTCTCATTTGTTTTTACATATGGCAAATGCTTCCTTTCAGTAATATATGAGGTATTACTACGGCTGTAGTTAACAAAGAAGTTGATGCATTTATTCTATCCATAAATAAATCTTACTCAACTCAACTCGAAAATATCTTTCTCATGATATCACTGGTTTTTATTATTGTACTGGCTGCATTCAGTTCATTTGAGCTTTTACAAACAATAACTATGCACCCTTGTACGGTGGTTTCGGTTGCTGGCCGTCTGAATATAAGAGAAGGAAGATTTAAATGTTAAAAACAGAGTCAAGGAGAAGATAGAGGATTCACATAGACTGGAGTTGCAAGGATGAGGAGTGGATTCATGGGCGCCCCTGTCTATCATACCCAGTCATATCACCTAGTGTATCTAATCACCGGTCACCATAATCTCAAGTTAATAATAATAAATGAATAATAATAAATGTCTCTTTAATTCCTTTTTCTACTTATTGAATATACAAATGTACAGTTAACTTTCAGAAAGGGGGCTGCGACCATACAAAGGTTGCCTGGGGAAAATACTGATATAGGGAAGACAGGCGGCGGTGGAACTGTGGAACCCGGGACAGCCAGGTCACTATTTGGTGACCTAACAACTTGGCCACCACCGCCTATCCCCATCCAGGGAGCCTAAGGCTACCTATATGATTGCGTCTCATTCCCTCACGCCAGGTAGAATGGAAAGACAGTAATCAAAACTGGATCAGGGAATTGCAAGAGTGAAGGTTTTCCACTGTATTGAAATGATGATAGACATAATCCTACTTAAGCAAGATACATTGAATTGAGTTCAGTAGAATACTGGCTCACAGTTCATCTAGGTTATTAGATAAAGCTGAAAAAAAGAACATTCTATTTTTGGAATAATTAGCTACACATGAAAATCGGATCTGTTTGTGAATAGGACTGTCAATTGCTCACTAGTAGGTACCTGGTTATTTTGGACAAGTGCATCTTCATTTACCCCATTGAATGAGCGATAGGAAGAATTAAACCACTAAGTTTTTATTATTGCAAGTCGGTGACCTAAAATTACTGACTACGTTTGTTGAATCTGTTCATATCACTGTTAGATAGACTGCAGTCTATTATCCCGTTTATTTTCCTAAAATTGAGTCTATCACGTTTGTACCCTGCAGCTTAGGTTCTCATCATGAAAGTAATGAATAGGGAAAAATCATGGAACTTCTTTCACTTTATAAAGATTATCGTACTGAGATCTGTTCGGCACACATTTTGGCCTCAGAACAGTGTGAAGTATATACGTACATATATCTCGGAAAATAAGTAAGTTAACTCATACGTAATTCAAGTTAGAATGAACCGCTTATTGCTATATATTCTATTAGTTTGAATTGTAATTCAAACACCCTACTTTCTCATTTCTTTATTGTCTCACAAAACCTTCGTTTGTCCCTATTATCCATACTACGAACATTGATCGCCCATTGGCATGTAGAAAGGTTATCTGAAAAAGCATTGGAAAGAAACCGAACTTATCACGTATCAGCCCTCCTTGACGGATACCGTATCAGTGTGCCAAAATGCATGATCCTCTGAGTGTATTTGGGGAGATGGAGTTTGGAAAAGGTCGTTCAGCCGATTTAGGCCATAAAACGTGTAAAATGGTCCAAATCTATTTATAGTTTGGGTGTTTGTGGCTGACTGGTAATTTACCAGGCTGCAAATTTCCAGTTACTAAAAAGGCACAGTTTGTATGATTAAAGTAGAATAATTTGGAATGTCTTTCGAATAGGATCTATCCCAGGTCTCAGATCACGAGGATACGAAATGGAAATATAAGTGCCGATAATCAGTGTCAAGCTGTTCTTACCACCTCAGTCAAAAATTTCACTTAAATATCAATTTTAAAATTTCAGATAGGAAACAGCTTTCAATCAGAAGTATCAGGTTGTCGTCTTGTTAATAAAATATATCCGTAATATGCACTAAGAGAGAGACCTTCAGTCATATTTAGTCCAAGGGAAGGGAAGGTAAGAGATTAACTATATTCTTGATCAGCTTCAAAACTTTTCGCCTTTCGGTTAAAGACTGTTGCAATAACCATGTTTCTCCAATTGACACCTGTTAACAAAAAATCGTGTCATTCAACTACTGCGCTTCAACAGTTTGAACCAGCTTCCCAAATGACTCATTTGGAATTAAAATTAACAATTGTTTATATACATTAGTTAAATTTATCGCTGAAATTAGTTCACAAAAATCAAAATGAGACTTAGTAAAGCATGAACTTGTAAAGAGCTACCTTCGTTTTCCAGAAATCTAAAATAAGAATATTTCTGTCCATTGCTGAAACATATTTTGTGAATAAACAATCCGAAAGAAAAAATAAAGAATTTCGTTTTTGGGAATATAATCATAATTAAGTTTACCACCAAAACATTTCTCGCAGAAACAATGACAAGCGAGTTATTGTTTGAACAAACCAGCGTTTTTCTATTTTCCTGTCTTTTACCGACACTTGACAAACAGGCCTATCCATATGCTGTTTCCTAAGAGGTGCTTAGGCTAAGCAATATGTTGTTTTTAAGTGTTTCACTTTCATCATTGTTTATTGATAATATGGAGGAGTAACTACTTCTCTTGCGATTCAATAGTATTTAATAGCACTGCAGTGAAAGTTGAAAAAAATATAACTTTTCCAAACATAATAGTGATTCTAAATAACAAATGAGATACTTTCATTGTTATATTGAAGCATTTTTGGGTCATGTTCTCAAAGAGAATTCTGCAGTTGAGAAGCCAAATCACTTTAATTATTCTCAAACATTCATGCAAATGTGGAAATCGCATCGACATTTACAAATAACATTCCATGTATGCGATCAGTTTAGCTCGGACATTTTTAATTAGGTAAATCTGACTAAAAAACAAGGATATTTGGTGAAAAGCATCACCATTAAAATTACTTCTTGGGAGGCGCATATATGGATTTGTAGAATGTGATGAATAAAATCTTTTGGATGTTATTCTCCATTATTACAGTGGTATACTTGATGATACATTTTACCTCACTCACGTCACTGAACAACGAAGAGGTTTACTCCTGAAATTTATTACACAAATGGTATATATTTTGATCAATCAAACAATTACAGCGCAATAACCTAAGATTTATTTTAAAAAATTGAGGTACAAGAAAGCAGCTTTATTTTTACCTATGCACCTAGATTTACCTTTATCTATAAACTTCTTGTCACTAGCCACGGTGACCTTCGCAAATAGGTTTAACATCTTCTGATCAAACCAAGTGGGGAATGGGAAGCATAGTTTCCCGTAACGAATTTGAATAAAGAAGCCAAATCACAGGTTTGCACAATGTATCCTGGATCATTTTGCTGCATCTGTACACGTGCATACTGCAGTCTACAGTACTGGCCCATTGTGATGCACTAAAATATTTTTTTTGTGATCAAAGGGAGTTTCATTACATTTATCACCCATATTAATGCTTTAGGTATGGACAATAATTTTTATCTTGTCTACTTCGATTTACGTAGTTTCTGGGCTGCATGATTGTCAATTAAACGTGCCTGACCTTGAGTGCCAAGAATAAATGATCTGAAGATGAGAATCGCGAACTGTATCAAGTATGCAACTTCCTCCTAATATCCCGGATCTCAACGTGATTGAAAATCTGTTTTCTGTTTTGATGAGATAGGTCAATGTGCTACCTATGCATTGGACCTTGGAGGCAAAAGTGCGATACGTAATGGAGCACAACATAGAAAATGACTTCATAGCAAAGTTGGTGGGTTTGACGTCGAGGAGACTCAAAAAAGTTCTAAAGAACAAAAACAGACTAATCGACTACTAGTGTACACAAACTTTACATCTTGCTTATTATCAATGTTAATTTGTTGTTAATAAAAACTGTTCCATTCTCTTTAGTTAGCTCTTAACTCATCATGGTCTAGGTCAACCACTACTGACAAAATGGG